CCCCAAAACCCCAAAACCCCAAAACCCCAGAGAAGGATTTTATAATTGAAGCAACCTTAATTATTAATTAATCCAATAATATATCTCACAAACAATTATCTTCGAGTCGAAAAAGTTTTCCTGTTTCTCACTTTTGGAGATGATGATTTTTGTTAATTGGTCTCTTCTGTCTTTGTGGTATATTCTACAGCCACGTAGGGTTTTATTGAATTTGATAACCAAGTCTGGTCTGCCTTGCATGAAAATATGACCAGTTACAACTTCAGAACAGAAGAAAATAGCTTCAGGTCAGAAGATAGGCTCTCTATCGATTGTAGAGACCCTTCAAGCCATTAACTTTCCAAGAAGCTTCAGAAAATCACTCTTGCTAGTCTAAATGAAGTGAGGCTATTAAATATCTTAGAAGACCACCCGAAACTGGTATAATCAATTCTAAATGGCTTATTTCCTACAAAGATTAACAGCTTAGAATTAAGCTCTGGTGAATATATTGTTCATATTATACCTTTCATAAATTGATTCACTGAAGTTAGCAGTAAAGTTCAAACAAGGGTCTCACTTTGCGGTTTTTGTTTTGGCAACCAACTAAGATTCGTTGATCCAGAGAAGAAACCGATAATTAATGAGTATTGCTTGGTCAACTTCTTTGAGGCATACAAACATGTTAAGGCAATCAAGCTCTCAGAGTGCATATGAGGTTACAAAGAAAAGTATGATTTCATTAAACCACTGATGAGGACTTCCATTCAAGCTATCATTTTGGAAAAATGAGAAGGCGTATCTGGAAGTTACTGGAGTAAGAGAGGGGTATATAGATTTGAAAACTTCAGTGAAAGTATTCCTTACTCAGACTTGAAGACCTCTCTAAGGCTTTTCTGGCTTCGGCATTCCACCTCATCTAGTCACCATGTGATTGAGTATCTTAAGAGCCTTGGATTTGACAATGTTGAGATATACGGTCAATTTTAAAAAGGTAAATGGATATGTTGTTGGAATCAAGATAAATGAAAATTTTAATTCAACTTTATTTTACAATAAAGGGGTTTTGGGGTTTTGGGGTTTTGGGGTTTTGGGGTTTTGGGG